TCTCCCTCTTTCATTAAAATTCAGATGCCCTTTTTTTTTTTGTCCATTCATTTTTATAATAAAATCAGCAGCTGGTGAGAGGTCCATCAATATTTGGGTAAGTCACTCTTTTACTTCCTCAGGAAGGCCAACTGTTCCAATTAAGACAAGTTGACAAATCCATTAAGTGCTTTTGCTTCCAGGTTGAGATTTTTTGTTCTTGTTGTTTTCCTCCAAGTCTCCTGCAGCCTTTTATTTTATAAATGGGGACGTGAGGTCCAAAGAGGTTAAGCACTTAGAATCTGGATCTGCTACCCCTCAATCCTGAGTTTCATTACCAATGAAATACCCACCCTGGGACTACAGTCCTCAAATGCTCCAACTACTATTTCTTCCCTTGATGAACTTCAGAGTTAAGAACTAGTGAATGCTGCTTCTAAGTTATATTCCTTCTCCCTCTTACAAAGACCCCAGTTACTGATGGGGGGCTGCTCCTCCACCAGCACATCCAGACCCTGCTATCATCAGAAACTTCTCCGTGATTAAAGTCTCTCTCCATAACCTCAGTACCCCATCTCCCAGATGGCTTACTCAATCATCCCCAGGACATTTCTTCAACATCAAGGGGTCCTTTGGACCCTCTCCATTCTCCCTGTTCACTCACTCCTCTTTTCTTTCTTCACCTCCAATCCAGCTCATATTTCATGTCCCATCATTTTAATCACTCTTGCCAAAATCTTAAACCTCTATAGTCTCTCTGTACTCATATTGCATCCAGCCGGCAAAAATCTAAACCTGTATGATTGCTCAATGCACTAAGGTTACCCATAATATCAAACTCTTGACTTTTCTTCTACCTCTTTGACAGCTGCTTCTTATCTCTTATACCCAAATTTCAAATGTAGAAATTTACAGGAATTTTCTTCTCAATTTTTAAGTAATTTCATTCTTACCCTTGGCTTCTATCATCGTCGATATGGCACAGATTCCCACATTTATACATATCTAGCTCAGAACCCTCACAGGTCCTGAGAATACTTTTATTCCCCAAACCTGGTCCACTTCTAATATTCCCTCACTCAATAAACCACCAGCCACACAGTTACGCAAACCTGAAACTGAGAAATTCTTTGGTCTCAAAGAAAAAGAAAAAAACCAGCCAGCATGATGGCTCACATCTGCAATCCTGGCACTCTGAGACACCAAGGCAGGAGGATCGCTTGAGGTCAGGAGTTCGAGACCAGCCTGGGCAAGAGTGAGACCTATATCTACTAAAAATAGAAAATCAGCCAGGCATCATGGTGTAAGCCTGTAGTCCCAGCCACTCAGGAGGCTGAGGCAGGAAGATTGCTTGAGCACAGGAGTTTGAGGTTGCAGTGAGCTATGATGACGCCACTGCACTCTAGCCCAGGTGACAGAGCCGACTCTGTCTCAAAAAGAAAAAGAAAAAACCATTTCAAACTATAATAGTTTCAGCAAAAATGAGGAGGAGGAGGAAGAAAAAGAAAATATATCAACTCAGGTAACTACAACATAATAAATGCTCCATAAATGTGTTAAATGAATGAATTATGAATAAATGAATAAATGTGGAAAAGTCCAGGGATAAATCTAATTCCAGGGAAACTGGATCCAGGTATTAATATTTAAATTACATGATCAGGAAGCCTTCTTGCTTTACTCCTCAGATCTGCTTCTTCTCTGCTTGCCTCATTCTCAGGTCATTGGCCAAGACAGCCACCTGGAGCTTCAGGTTTAGATGCTATCAATTTAGCAATCTCCACAGAGTGTGCCTTTTCCCCAAAAGTCCCAGTTACAATCTCCAGAATGGGCTAATCCCTGTAGCTAGGGGAATGGAATACTGGAATTGGCCAACACTGGCTTTTTTTTTTTTTTACCACCTGACATCTCTTCTATGGCCACCACCCTTGTCTACCCACCAATATAATATCTTCGCTTGTGTGTCCTCCCGTCCCCAAATTCATGCTGAAATCCTCGCCCACAAGGTGATGGAATTAGAAGGTGAGGCCTTTGGGAGGTGATTAGACCATGAGGGCAGAGCCCTCATGAAAAAAGAGGCCGGAGAGAGACCCCTCATCCCTTTCACAACGTGAGGATACAACAAGAAGATGCTATCTATGAACTAGGAAAAGAGCCCTCAGCAGATTCCAAGCCTGCTGGGACCTCGATCTTGGACCTCCTAGCCTCCAGAACTGTAAGAAACAAATTTCTGTTGTTTATGAACCACTCAGTTTATGGTATTTTGTTACAGCAGCCAGAATGGACTAAGACAGAAGAATATAATCAAACTATTAACATTGGTTGGTTACTCCACAAACTAGATGAAGAGGAAGAGAATTGCTTTCCAGATATTCCTTTAAGTTGTCTGACATAAGGTCATATATCATTTTTGTAATTAAAAAATGAAAAACTTTATTCTTTTAAGTGTATATAAAGGCTTTTTTTCCTGTGTTTTAGTTCTAAATATGGGCACTCCCCAAATTCTGAACATTTGACATACAATCATTTTACAAATACAACCTGCTGTGCTATAGCAACCGATTTTGAAGGGCAAAATAGAGAGGGTAGAAGTTGTGCCTTGTGACAACTTCTCTTCCCACCAAGAGGCTGCAGATGCTGAGGGGTCAGGAAGCAGAGGAGGAGAATATGAGAAGGCATTTAACACAATAAAACAATGATAACAAGAAACAATAAAACAACATGAAAATGGAAATGACTGGCAGGTTCCCAAGCTTGTTAAAGATAAGTAACTAAAAGGCCAGTTAACCCATAATGTGTTTGAGATATTATAGATTTCTAATGTATCTGAGATATATAATATTTCCTGTATATATCCAATATAATTGTGGAATGGGATGGCTTTGGGATGACTACTACAATTCTCACCATCCCTTGGTATCTATAAAGCCCTTTATAGTTTACAAAGTTCTTTGATACACATGAATCAAATGTTCTAGCTAAGAGAAATCAGTTAAAATAAAATACATACATCTATCATTACAAACATATGCAATAATTTAATCTTTGATGATTAAGAAGGTTGCAGAGCATAACTTGAAACATATGCTATGAGCTATTATGATCAATTTAAATTATACAGTAGATATTTACATAAACAGAAAATTGAAGCTGAGAAACTATAAGACCAAAAGTTTATTTTAACTTTTGTAAGCAAAGGTCAATTTCTTTGAGCAAAGTCTACCTCAGTGGGCTATGACTGATAGTTAATCCACTTACAAATTTGTACTAAAATAACAAACATGGGAAAATCTGGGCTCTAATTCTTTTTTATTTAAAGAGACAAGGTCTCACTTTGTCACCCCAGCTGGAGTGCCCTGGCATGATCATAGTTCATTGCAACCTCACACTTCTGGGCTCAAGCTATTCTTCTGCCTCAACTTCCCTAGCAGCTAGGACTACAGGTGTACACCACCACACCCAGTTTGGGTTCTAATCCTTGACAAAATATTTCTCATCCTACTTCTTCTCTAAAGGGTTAAAAAAACCTTTATATACAGTTTCACATTATGCATGATTTTGCAAAAAGGATTCATAGAACTTTATATAGATTTTCCGAGTTGAAAAACTGAAAAATCTAATGTAAAAATCTAACTAGGCACTCAAGATATATATACCAGTATGCCAAACACTATAAATGAAAGATACATATCCATTTACTTCCAGACACAGCAAAGATTAACAAATTTCATAATGCTTTCTACCCACTGTAGGTATTTTACAGATAAAACTTTTCCAGGAAAACATGGCATATATATAAAACCAATAAGATATATACTTCTCAGACATTTAGGAAAGTCCAATATAAAGAAGGAAATGAGGGACAGGTCAATTCACAAAGAAAAAAGACATCATAAATCATCTAAAATGAATAAGAACTAGAATTCAAGAATGAGATTCAAATGAGGTTAAGTGACAGCTATACAAAGTAAATCCATTTAAAATGGAGACCAATTTTTATATTAAATAGTGGGAATAAAAAGCTTGATTAGAACATTCTCTTCAAAACATTTTTAAATAAGTTTCTCTTATATGTACTAACATTTGAGTTAGAAAACTACGTGCTTATTCTTAAAACACAAAAACAGTGAATCAAATGTTTTGTTAGAAAAATAAAAATTTTTTCCAACAATTGTATGTTAGCCCAATTCGAAATAATTTGATTCTCACAGGGAAGTCATAAAGGTTTTATTTTGATTTGAAAACACTCAAAGGTTGCATTAAGCTTCTCAAATGCCTCTCTTAATACTTTAATCTTCAAATCATTCTCTTTTTAATGCCTATAACTCAAAGTCAACCTTGTTGGTTTCTCGTGTACTTTTTTTTTCTTTGAAACAGGGTCTCACTCTATTGCCCAGGCTAGAGTACAGTGGTGTCATCATAGCTCCCTGAAACCTCAAACTCCTGGGCTCAAGAAATCCTCCTGCCTCAGCCTCCCAAGTAGCTGGGACTACAAGCACATGCCATCACACTCAGCTAATTTTTTTATTTTTTGTAGAGATGGGGTCTTGCTATATTGCTCAGGCTTGTCTTGAACACCTGACCTGAAGCCATTCTCCGGCCTCGGCCTCCCCAAATGCTCGGATTATAGGTGTAAGCCACTGCACTTGGCCTCTTGTTAACGTTTGAACTGGTTTGTTGAGTGCTGTAACATCCAAAATTCACCTTGGGAGCTTAACATAGAAAGAAATGACAAGTCAGGATAGATACACAAACAAAATTAAGAGGGGTTTTCGAAGGGGACTAATTTTGTAAGTGGTACATTAGTGAGTATTTTGCTTTCCTACACAATTCCTCCTGCAACCTCATACCTTTAGGGACTTGGATGACAAATTCACAGCCAATGAGAACCCCCTGTGTATTTATTTTGTCTGTATATATAACAAAAGGGGATAAACATCTTAATATCTTAGGATATATAAAATACATCCTGGTCAGAACCACACTTATAAGTGACTTTTTAATGTAATATAATACTGTACCAAGGTTGTAAGGGAGTTCCTTTTCATATAGAGTCTTTCCAAATATTGCAGTCCCTCATCTTTCAGTAACTCCAATGGAAAATGATGCAGATTCCTATAATTTAAGAATAAATTCTTATGCTTTTCCAGCCTTGCCACAGAGATCGTCTTACAAAGTTCGGATGCCATGACTGAATATATCCCATTAGGCACACTGCAGCACTACATCTTGTCAAAATTGGTCCATTTCTATAAAGAAAACAAGAAAATTTAATCATTATAAGACTTCTTACGAGCCATATAAGCCTGTTAGCATATAGAACTACTTACACATACTAAAAAGATAACTACATATCAATCCTATATTTTTCTTTCATAACAACAAAAATCATCACACATATTTAAAAGATTTAAATGAATAATAACTTAATAAAAATACTCTGGTTAAGCAGTATTTACTACTTATTAGAAAAAGCCCTGATGGGAAAAATAGTTTTTGGACTTGAGATAGGAATCCTTGTCTAAAAGAACAGGAACCAGTTTTATAACACATAACCAAAGGAAAAGCTTAAAAACCAAATGCAGCAAACAGCCTTTCCTTTTCAAACTACTTCATTTTGTACTTAGCTTAAGGTATTTCAAAAATATTAAAATATACTAAAATGCATGTTATTTATATCTAGAGCACTAAGAGTTTCATTTTCTTCACATCCTGGTATCTAAATATTGCCCTATATTCTAATTTTTTCTTTCATCTATTTTCTTCCTTTTAAGCTTTGCAGACCACTAGAACTAGCAAAGGGCCATGCAGTTTCATTATTTTAAATTATTTCAATGAATGAAGAAACACTGCACTAAGAAACAAGAACCTCGTATTATTCTATTACAATCCCTCTGAGCCTCAGTTGCCTAATATATAAAATGGAGATAGCAACTAATGTGTTAGTTTAAAGGCCTGAGTCCAGGACAGATTATTTTAAATTCTCTTCTAGCTCTAAAATTGACAAGGGTAGGAAGAGAAGTAACATTTGCCATCTTATCCCCTGGCACAAAGCTGAAGCAAACTTCACCATCACTTAACACAAAAGAAACAAACTTAGGGCTTCGATGATTTGTCTAAGATCAAACAGCTCACAAGGGATAAAAGCAGGGGTTTGAGGCCAGGTTCTATGGATTTCAAAGCCTGGGTTCTTTATAGACACTAACTCACAGGACTCCACAGGGTACTAAGGAAATGCTAAAACAACTACAAACAAGTTGAGCTTTGCTCAAAGATTCTACTCTCAGTTTTCCTGGGCACCTTTTCTAAACTCTCTGTTGAAAAGTGCCTTTTAAAGGGAATTTTTTTTTTTCCTTAAGAAAAAACAATTTCACTGGGAATTAATACCAATTTAGCATAAAATATAACAACATAAGCTTTCAATAAACAGGGTTTAGTAACTTTTTGGTTATTTTCTATTATTTCCAAACTCTAATTTCTAGCTAATTAGACAGCACTTGTCATGCTATATAAAACAGCAAATAATATGAAATAGTCAATAATATACCCAATGCAACATAAGAATCCAATATTTTTCCATATTTATTCTACCTACTCACCTATTTTGTGACACATAATTATGTGACTTTGTGCAAGATACCCAATCTTTTGACATCTTCATTCTCTCATCTATAAAGCAAGGGGAACTACACTACCAATAACATCAATGATTATGTGCAGAAAGTGAAACTTTCTAGGTAATTATTCACTGAACTAATAAACTGGAAGCAGTTATATGTCTCACAAGCATCTCAAACTTAATACATTCAAAGAAGCTTCTGACTTTCATTACCAATCCAAACCTCCCCAGTTTTTCTGATCTTAGTAAATGGTGCACACCTCTAGCCACCCCACTGCTCAGGCCAGAAAGCTGGAAGTCATGAATGATTCCATCCTGTCATGCACCTGTCACCTCTAATATATCACAAGGCTAATGGTTCCCATCTCCAAAACACAACTCAAATCATCCACATCTCTCCATCTGCCAAAACCACAAGCCACTGTCATCTCCTGCCTGGCCAGCTATATTGCTGGTCTCCCTGTGTCCACTCTAGTCACTTCTGACACATTAAACACAGCAGTGAGCCTTTGAAAATGTAAATCTATGTCACACTCTCTCTCAGGCACACATCTTACTAAATAAACCCTCCAGAAGCTTCTTATTTAGAAAATCAAACTCATAACAGGCCTTCAGAGCTCCTCACCATCTGTCCTCACCCACTTCTCCAGCACTTTCCCTGGCTTCTCACCAAGCTCCCGGGCACTTCTAATCCCTCAAACTACCAAACTCTTCACAGTACCTACAGGTCTCCTCTTAGCCTGGAAAGCAATGACCCATTATCCTCCAGGTTTCAATGTAAAAATCACTTCCCTATCCCAAAGTATTCCCCTGGTATTCTTTTAGAGTAACTCGGCTGTTTGTTTTTTTTTTCATCAGAGTCCTCACAATCTATAATCTATGTATTTATCAGTGCACCTGTTTCCTGCCAATCTAACCAAAAGCCTGCAAAATCTTGAGGGTAAGGATTTTACTGCTTTCTTCATACTTGCATGCCTGCATCTAGTACAGTATCTAAAAGTATGCCCTCAAACAGCTGATGAATGGATGAAATTAGGACATGTGGAATAACACTGCAAGGCTGATTTTTCATCTACCTAATGCAAGACTACTTATAGAGTCTATAAACTTGCTGCATTCCATAAAGATCTCTAATCCTTACAATTATGCATTGTAATAGACATTATTTAGCTCATTTTATAGAGGAGGAAACTGAGTTTCTCAGACAGTAACTCACCAGAATCCCAACACAGATGGACTAACTGCAAAGCCTGTGCATTGCCCTACAATGCAGCCTTTCAATGCACTTCAATGTGGTCAGTGCTTCTTCCTATCATTTACATGGTAGACAAAGCTTATACAAATAGAAGACTTACTTCGTAAAGCAAAACTATATCCAAAGCCACATTCACTGGAGGAAGATTCAGTAAGAGAAATCACCGTAACCGCACTGCTTTCCTTCTGAAAATTCTGGCTGGGATTGGCTACCTCAAAAACATCATTACCCCTGTTAAAATGCTACAATGGCAGGCTGGGAGATAAAATATACACAAATGAGATCCGAAAGCTGCCAATAATCAACAATGCTCACAGTTTTCCAATATGCACTCATTGGAAATATACAGCCTTTTAACAGGATAATTTTCTTACCTCATTTCACTTTAATACCTCCTATCTACAGTTAAAGCAAATGGTGTATTTAATATTAACTGTATACAACTGCACCCCTGAGTTTTCTGACAGGTGAACACTAATCTATCGTATTACTTTAAAAACAGACACACAAACAAAAACACCTCCCATCTTAAGTAAATTCCACACATTTTAAGCAAGAGTGTTTTAAAGGAAAGGAATCCCTTAGACTGACTTCCCTGTACTCAATTCCCCATTCTCATTTCCTAACACTGGAGATTAGAGAATTGCAAACTGTACATTAGAAGAATTTGTAAATGGCTACTTTCTCAGTACTCTACTAAGAAACACTGACACAAGTCGTGGGCAAAACACATGCCGTTTTCCCTGAGTTAGCCACACACTAAGGTCGTTACAGTTAGGAAGCAGCGACCCAGTGGCAGTGAATTCCCAGAGCCGGTACCGGGATTCTCCGGTCCCAGGAGACACGGGCCGCGGAGGGACGGAGGAGCCGCAGCGGCCCGAGGCCCAGACAGCCCCGTGGTCCCACTCGCAGCGGCCTGGACGCTTCTGCGGAATCCGGTGTGGGGCATCCCCGCCGGGGGCGGGCCAGGGGGCCTTGCCAAGTGAACCACCCCATACAGCCGACTCCGGTACTCACCTCGGCGCCGACAGAGCCAGCTCCGGAGCGCAGGCGGCGCTGGACCCCAAGCGGAGGGACGGTGGGCGGGGCGGGGCGCTGGGCGAGAGGCGGGACTCTGGGGGCGGGGCGGAACCCGCGCTACTAGGAGCTGGGGAAGAGGGAGCCGTGGAAATGAGGACGAAACCTCGCGATAAGTCGCCCGTGTTCTCGCGGTTTTATGATAGGTGGGGCGAAAGGCTCGTTTTCCAAGCGATGTGCCTATTGGCTGAGATCGCTGTTTCCTCTAGGCTGGCCCCGCCCACGGTTCTAATCTTGCTTTCGGCTACGGCTGGTAGCTTGATGTCAAGAGTGCGGCTTTTTGCTTAGCGTCCTGAAGGGGTAATTTATCTGGCTCCAACCGGAGAAATTGCCAGTTACTGACCTGTTCTTTCATTCATACATTCATTCAGGCACTTGGGCTCTCGTTCAGTGCATACGCTAAGGGGTTACAACAATAACATCCGATGTTAATGTGTACCAGGCAGCGTTCTGAGAGCTATGCGTAAATTATCACATTTAACAACTCTTAACAACAATTCCCGAAACTGGAACAATTATTATGTTAATACTAGTCTGCTGGGTGAAAAACCGAGGCCTGTAGGTAGGTTTATGTAACGTACCCAAGGTTAGTTAACAAATAATGAGTCTAAGCACCGGATTTGAGGGCTCACTGTACGCACTGATAGGTTCCAAAGATGAGGAGGTAACCTAGTCTCTGCCCTTCAAACCAAGGTCTATTGTGAGAAACGATTGCTAAAAAGGACAAAAAACAACTTAGTTAAATATTGTGGCAGTTCCTAGCATGACTGAGTAGGTTATCAATAAATATTTCTTTAAAACAAAAAGTCCTATGTCAGCGAAAGAGACATCAAAGAGGGCTTTACGTTGGTTAAAAAAAAAAAAATCTGAGCATTGTTCGACAATATTTAAAAAATACCATGCTCATTAATATGGGGCAACTTTCTTTGTCAAATTAAGACTTTAAAAATTTTTCCTCTACTATAATTGCTGTTGTTTTTTGTCCTTTGAGAAGTTTGATGCCTATTATTAATTTGCTCGAGGCTGTCAAGCAATCTTAACTTTATAATAAGCTAGTTTTACATTAGCTTATTTCATTACTCTTAGAGATGAATAACCTAGAAAGTAGAGTTATATTAAAAATAACACCGAATCCAAAACAAGGTATGAGTTATAATAAAATATCAATTATCTGTTTATTAAATCTAATGTTCAAGTGTTCCTGAAGCATAGTATATGTCATGTATTTCTAAAGCCTTTTATATAGTGTCATAATACCTAAGAATTTGTGGTACTCAAATTTTTTGTTGAATTGAAAATGAGGAAATCTACATTTTGTGTAAAAACAAAAATCATCCCAAATAGTAAGACTTGCTGCCAGTAGGTGAAGTCACACATACACACACACACACACACACACACACACACACACACACACACAAGGATTATCGTTAGTTAGAAGAATAATTTTTAAAAAAATGATCAGCCTTAGTTTTCAGGGTTTTTTTAAGCAAGGGAAATACTGTTTTTAATACATTACTTTAACATGTAATATTTGATCATGAAAAATGAATCATGTTAAAATACTCCCTCCCCAAATTGACACAAAAATTGCCAAGTGATTATACGTGATAGTATAGTATCCTATGATCACTCTTAGATATTCTCTCAATTTGTAGAGTCAGTTTGCACATTTTGTCTCACTTAAAACAAAGGGGGGAAAAACCTCTAATGTAAGCTGTTGATTCTATAATCTTTGACAAACTTTAACATCAACAGGCAGCAATACCACTTTAAGAAAATTCCAAGGAAAAGACAACCCCATTTTAAAATTCCCACCTCTGGCTCCCAAGGATTGGGTTGCAAACTTCGACAAATTACTCTCCTCGACTTCCTATTGGTGATTGCTCTATCATTCATTCTTCTGCTTGATAGTTTTGTAAGGAACCGGTTGCTGCTGTAATTTAGTTTGGGCCTGCCCTACTTTGCACTTTTTCGTTATTATCAGTCTGTACAAAGAATCACGGAACTGATACAGCGGGAGCCAAACTGGCAAATCAGGCTGCCAAGACAACTGTGTAATTCGCTCGAAAAAGAAACGGAGAACCTCTCAAGCAGACTGGGTAAACTGACAAAGAATTTTACGATGTAGCTGGAGACTTGAGAGTTAAAGAAACTTTTCCGGGTTTTTGCTAGTTTTAAAGGAGCAAGCTTTAAAGGAAAAACAGAAAATACAGGCACAATCTAAGGGTGGCAGGAAGAAGAGTTTTCAGAGGGTGTTTTGCTTTTTAGTGTGAGGATGGAAAGCATCATCCCCAGATTATCGGTGGATTTTTAAAAGGTAAAGGAAGCAAGATTATAAGATTAATTGTAGATTCTTTTCTACTGTAAAAAAATTGTGCTTTGTTGTTATCGTTCCTTAAATATGGATTTAGAAGGACATTTAATAATGTGGTAACTTTTAAATGAAATGAGTATGTTTGTAATTATCACACCAGGCACAACAGACAATACATCTGTTAAAAGCTATGAGAAAGTTAGAGTTGGCTTTGGACCCAAACTTTGTGTATATTTGTAGATTAGGAAATCCAGGGACATAGGTCTGCTAATGGCCAAGCAAATGTAGTATTGGTATCTGAAGCAGAATTAACAGATAATTAATATACAGATAAATTCTCTGAAAAGAAATCCAGCATTTATATTTTCAAAATGGTATTTTGTATTTAAACTAAAATAAAAAACTTAAGGAAAATATTGATAAACAAGAATATTTCTTGAGTGGCCTCTGTTAATCCATATATGGGGATATAAAATAATTTAATATAGTCTCTCAGGAGGCTCATACTTGTACTCTAGCTCAGAAGCGAGGCTCAGAACATTTAAATTAAAACATCTGCACAGTTCCTAATGCCCAAATGACTGTTAAAGACCATAGGTAATTCAGGAGCTCAGATCAGTGTCAGCTGAATTATTCAAGCAGGGCCTCACAAATTATGGGTATGACCTAATTCAGGCCTGAGCAATGGGCCAAATTGCAGATAGAAAAGAAGGGAAGGGCCATCCCTGGCAGTAAGTGAGTCATTAGCAAGTATGTGCAGTCTAAGAAAGAGTTGGCTCCGACTGCAACAGAAAGTTCATTTGGGAATTTTGGTGAAAAAAGAAAAGCATGAGAAGTTACATGAAGAGCCAAAATTGCCATAATTAAGGAGTGACCTGGGTTTTGAACAGGAGGAACACCTTATGAAAGGAATATTTCAAGATGATAAAATTGACAGTGCAACTTTAGATGACTCCAAGGGCAGAGACCAGAAGCTAAGGGACTCCAGTTAGACTATAAATGTTGGCATACAGAGGTAACTAAGCCTCTTAAGGCATTTTATCCAAATACCTTTACTTTACCATTGTTAAATAACATAAATCTTGATGCATTTCTTTGTAGTCTTCAAAATCATTGAGTTTATTTATTAAGATTTTTGGGGCCGGGCACAGTGGCTCATCCTTGCAATCCTAGCACTTTGGGAGGCCAAGGTGGGAGGATTGCTTGAGCTCAGTAGTTTGAGATCAGCCTGAGCAAGAGTGAGATCCTGTCCCTACTAAAAATAGAAAAATTAGCATGGAATCATGGTGCAGGCCCTTAATCTCAGCTACTAAGGAGGCTGAGGCTGGAGGACCGCTTGAGCTCAGGAACTTGAAGTTGCAGTGAGCTGTGATGACACCACTGCGCTCTAGCCTGGGGGACAGAGCAAGACTGTCTAAAAACAAAAAGATTTATGGGGCCTCTGCCACATTGTCTTGGGGAATCAGGGTTGCCCTATTTTATAAAAGTTTGGTTGTCATAGATATATAAAACCAGAATTACACATAAAGCTGCATTATGGTTTCATAGCTATTTTTTAGCAGCTTTAATGAAGTATAATTTACATACCATAAAATTCTCATGTTTTAAAGATCCAACTCAATGATTGTTTTAGAAAATTTACAGAGTTGTGCAACCATCAACCACATTCCAGTTTTAGAAAATTTCCATCACCCTAAAAAAGATACTTTGTCTCCATTTGTAGGCAACTGCCGACTCCTATTCCCAGCCCCAGACAATCATTAACTTCTGTCTCTATAGATTTACCTTTTATAGGCATATAAATGGAATGATACAATATATGATCATTTACATCTGGCTCCTTTTACTTAGCATGTTTTTGAGGTTCATCTATGTTGTAGTATGTATTCTATATACTACATTCCTTTTTATTTGCCAAACATGATGATACCATGTTTTATTTATCCCTTCACCAGTTGTCAGACATTTTGATTGATTCCAGTATTTAATTGTATTAATTGCAATTGTATAGTAATACAGTACAGTATACTAATACAGTATAGTAATACAGTAATACTATCCTGTATAGTAAATACAGTATAGTATTTAGCATTATGAATAATGCTGCTATGAAGATGGGTACAAGTTTTTGTGTGAACATATGTTTTCAGTTCTTTTGGATATATGCCTAGGAATGAATTTGCTGAGTCATATTTCAAAGGTTAAACTCTAAGTTTAACTTTTTGAGGAATTGCCTAATTGCCTTCCAAGGTGATTGCACCATTTTACATTTCCACCAGAATGTATGAGAGTTCCAGTTTCTCCACATCCTCGCCAATGCTTCTTATTGTTTGTCTGATTTATTATAGTCATTCTGGTGGGTGTGAAGTTGTATCTCATTGCAGTTTTGATTTGTGTTTTCCTAATGACTAACGAAATTGAGCATCTTTTCATGTGATTATTGGCCATCCATATGTCTTCTTTTGTATCTCTTCAAATATTTTGCTTATTTTTAAATTGGGTTATTTGTCATCTTATTATTGAATTGTTATTGTTACATATATGTTCTGGATAAAAGTTCTTTATCAGATATTTGATTTGTAAATATTTTCTCCCATTCTGTGGGTTGTCTTTTAACTTTAGTAGTGATGGTGTCTTTTGAAGCAACAAAGTTTTTTATTTTGATGATCCAATTAATTTTTTTCTTTTATCACGTGTGCCTTTGGTATTGTATCTTAGAAATCTTTGCCTAACTCAAGCTCGTGAAGATTTACTCCTATGTTTGCTGAGAGTTTTAGTTCTTACTTTTAGGTCTTTGGTCCATTTGGAGTTAATTTTTATATATGGTGTGAGGTAGAGGTCCAACCTTATTTTTTTGCATGTACCTATGTAGTTGTTCCAGCACCATTCATTGAAAAGACTATTCTTTCCCCATTGAATTAATCTTGGCACCATTGCCAAAAAATAATTGACCATATATGTAAGCGTTTATTCTTGGACTCTCAACATTATTCCATTTTTCTACATGTCAGTACCACACTGATTTGTTGGGGTTTTTTTCCTAGCTTTATTGAGGTATGATTGAAAAATAAAAAATTGTATCTATTTGAGGTGTACATTGTAGTGTTTTAACATAAGCATACCTTGTGTAATGATTCCCACAATCAAACTAACTCATATATTCATTTTCTGACAAAATTATCATTTTTTTGTGTAGTGAAAACACTGAAGATCTATTCTGTTAACAAATTTCAAGTATATAATATATTATTATTAACTATGGTTACTATGCTGCACCATATATTTCTAGAATTTATTCATCTTATAACTGAAAAATTTGAAATACAAAACTTTTGATTACTATAGTTTCATAGTAATATTTAAAATTGGGAAGTGTGAGTCCCCCAATGTCTTCTTTTTCAAGATTGTGGGCCTCTTACATTTGCATATGAATTTAAGGACTAAGTTGTCAATTTCTGCAAACAAAAAGGACAGCTAGAATTTTAATAGGGATCATATTACATCTATAAAGCAATTTGAGGAGTATTGCTATCTTAATAATAATGAGCCTTCTAATCTATGACCATGGAATGCCTCTCTATGTATTTAGATCTTACTTAATTTCTTTCAACAATGTTGTATAATTTTCAGTACAAGTCTTATACTTCTTTATTAACTTTATTCCTAAGTATTTTATTCTTTTTGATGCTATAGTAAATGGTAATGTTTTCTTAATTTCATTCTTAGATTATTTATTGTTAATGATAGAAATGCAATTTTTGATTCTTCACTTTGTATCCTATGGTCTTGCTGAGCTTGTTTAATAGTTGTGGTATGGGTTTTATCAATTAATTGATTGATTGATTGTGGATTCCTTAGGATTTTCTATATGGAGAATCATGTCATCTGATAATAAAGTTTTATTTCTTCCTTTCTAATCTGCATGCCTTAATTTCTTTTTCTTGCCTTGTTGCTCTGGCTGAAATATTCATTACACTGTTGAATACGAGTGGTGAGAGCAGTCATTCTTGCCTTGTTTCCAATCTAAGGAAGAAGGCATTCAAACATGCATTGTTAAGTATAATGTTAGCTTTAGGTTTTTTAAAATCAGGTGTTTATCAGCCCTTTATTGGGTTGGGGAAATTTTTATCATGAGTGGGTGTTGGATTTTGCCAAATGGTTTTCTGCATCTACCAAGATCATCATGTGGTTTTAGTCTTCTATTCTATTACATTAATGATTTCAGATGTTAAACCAACCTTCCATTCCTGGGATGAATTCCCCTGATCATAATGTATAATTCTTTTTATATGTTGCTAGATTTGGTTGAGGATTTTTATGTCCATATTCATTTGTCATTTTCTTGTGAAGTCTTTGTCTGGCTTTGGTATCAGGGTAACACTGGCCTCATAGAACAAGTTGGAAAGAGTTCCCTTCTCTATTTTCTGATAGAGTTTATAAAAGATACATATTGTTTCTCCTTTAATGATTTGGTAGATATATCACTGATACCTTCTAGGCGTGGGCTTAACTTTGTATAAATATTTTAAATTACTAATTTAATTTCTTGTTACAGGTCTATTCAGATTTTCTATTTTTTAAATACAGTTCAGTATTTTGTATCTTTCTCAAATGTTTTCCTAGTGCCTCAGCTTACATATGGGTAAGGTTGTTTTTTAACTAGTACACTCTCATACAGTCATAATGGTGGTTATTTCCTAAGAGTCACTGCCCTGAGGACTCCTGCCTCTCCCTGAAGTCCTCCTACATTTCCCAAGTCAGCACCCAAAGGTTAACACCAGGAACAGCAGGGGACTTTCAGAACCCAGCTCCAGCCTAGTTGCCACCTGTACAGATTGGTTGGTCCCCCTGCTATTCTAGTTATTAAATATTTTGAACATCACCTCTCAGAAATGGAAGACTGAGATCCTCCTTCAGACCTCTTCTCCCTGATACCTAGATCTGGGGCTGATCTTGTGCTTCAGCATTCTATTGGGCAGGTCTGGCAGAAAAAACAGCATCAATTGATTAGGTAAGTCTAACTGGCAGTTGTAGGTCCTGATAGAGGAGCCTGGGAAGCTGAACCCAAGGCTGCCAGAGAGAGGATGGTGTGTGGGGCCTGGGCTGATTTCTAATGAAATTTTAAGCCCCAGCTATGGCTATTACAAAGAAAAAAAAAGTGGCTGATGATAAGCATGTAGTTCAAAGTAAGTGAACTGAAGACTAAATCTTTATATGAAAGGTGTTACTGTATGATGCCACACACATTGAAACAGGCATATTTAAAGCAAGGTCAGTGACTCAAATGCCTCCAGCAGCCAGATAGGTAATGTTCCTCCTCTTTTCATTGATTCGGAGATGCACATTTCATTTAGCATTTAAATATCTGTGAAATTAGAGTGCACGTTACAATTCCAAGTCATGAATGGTGTATAAAATAGCAGCATCTTATAATCAATGGTGCTTTAGATTAGAGGAAATACAGGAAATAAATGGCATGGGTACATCCCTCTACATAGGCCTTTGACTTTATAAAGAGAGAGATGGAATGGATACAGAGACCTACTCTTGTACAATAAGAAAAACAACACAAGAGCGATGACAAATGGCACCTACTTTGCTGCCTCCGTGTCCAGGAGGCAATAGGGGGTGGTAGCACCTGTCAAACAGGAGAGTGTCCTTGAGGCCGCCCTTCCGCCCTGGCCAACTATTGCCTGTGGTGTTATAGGTCCAGTGTTGACAAGTATTCTGAGTTTTCAAAGGAAGTCAGAAACCCACAAATCTAGATCTTTATGTGAAACTCCTAATTTTAAAATAATGCCTCAATTTTTTTTAACAGACAAAAAAAAAAAAGTATGTACAAGTTATATTCAGCCTATAAGCATTCAAATTATACATAAAACCTCTGTTTTAAGTAAGCAACATTAAGAGGCAGCATGAGACAAACCACTTTTTGCAGTTAAGCCAGAAAAGAAAAATCAATCACATTTCAAAGTTTAACACTAGGTTCAGAGGCCAACAATGACAAACATTGCCAGGCTTATTTTCCTATGTCATTTTTAGACTTTCTTTGTGCCTCCCCCTAAATAGAAGATGAGGAAATGTGCACGAATTCAAGGTTTCAGTGAGCTATGATCATGCCACTGCACTCCAGCCTGGGTGACAGAATAAGACCCTGTCTCTAAAAAAGTAAAATAAAATAAAATAAAGAATATGTGGGTAAATCTGTTGAAGATGTTACCTTCCTGATTATAAAAACATATGATCACTTTTAAAAAATGCATGCTTAGGTTTCCAGAGCAACAGCATTTTCTTCCCACTGCTATAGACTGTGGTCAGTGAAAGGCAGGATGATGTGGTGGAAAATCACCAAATTATTAGAAGACCAGGGTCCTGGTTCTGGCCATGTGACATTCTATGTGTAGTTTAGCTTCACTCAGCTTCATTGTCCTCATTTTTTAAATTTGACTAATGATAACCTGCCCTCTGTACCTTACATGTTTGTAATAAGAGCCACATGAGTTAAAATATGTGAAAGTATAAAATGTTCTGTAAATATCAGTTAATTAGTATTGCCCAAATCACAAGGGTAGTTGGACAGCACAGGTTCTTGAAGCTCAGATTCCTCATCCCTGTCTGCTGCTCTTTCTCTAGACCACAGCACCTACTGAAATGGTCATCTCATCAGCTAATGGGTTGAGTAGATGAGGAAGCATAAGGCAAGAAGTTATTCAAGAAAATTCAGCCAACATCTTGAGACCTGAAATAGCACTGAGTCTCTGTACAGCATGGCTTAGGCAAAGCTCAGATGTTAAACTGGAAGGATTGGCCTTGAACATTTTTAAGAGCTACCCAGGAATGAGAGCATCACCTGAATTGGAGATCAGTCTCTGTAGCTTTCTCACAGTTTGACCATTAGCTGCTTCCTTCCCTCTCTTTTGCATATTTTCATTCTATATTGCTTTATGAGGAAAAGAAAAAACTCCTACTTTCTTTCTTCTTGGTGGGCATCTTTTCTATTGAAAATGTAAAGCTGTTTTGTATTTTTAAGGAGTTAACACACTTTACCTTAGTAATAATATCCACTCTAACTTTTCAGTGCTTACCTCTAGCCATCTCAAATCCTATTTGGAAGTAAGGAAAAACTATTATCTTTAAAAACATTTAACTCAGAACTAGTGACATGTTTCTAACTTCTAAGTTGGACATTGTTAAATAAATTTTCTCCCTCAACCTCAAATTCAATTTAGTTGAAACTAAATTGGTTGTGTTACTCACAGGACCACTCCCCTTTATCTTGCTACTTCTGTTTATGGCATCACTATTTTTAGGGGTCAGTAAACTTTTTCTGTAAAGGATAGTAAGTATTTTAGGCTATGGGGACCGTAGGATTTCAGTCACAACTGCTCACTTCTGCTGTTGTAGTGCAAAAGCAGCCATAGACAATGTGTAAGTAAGTGAACATGGCTGTGTTCCAATAAAACATTATTTTATAAAAGCAGCGGGCAGGATTTGGCCCATGGCCATAGTGTACCAACCTTTACTCTAGAGTCCCAGGATGGCAATGTCACAGTCAGTCTTGACTGTCCTCCTTTTTAATGTATACATCGAAGCAGCTCTTGAGTTGCAATCATTACTCCTTTCAGTAATTGCCCTCATTGCTACCCTAACTTCCCTCCCCACTGTTACTCTGCACTTGAATTCATTCTGAACAATTGCAGTAATATGCTCAGTGATTTGTTTTTTCAACTGTAGGTAAATGAGTGGCTGCAGGAACATACCTATTTACTGAAGAGCTATCAGAATTTCTTGGGGGAAGTTTTAAGCATAAGGAATATTATAATTTTATTTTTAAGGAAAAATGCCTACTTTGTCAGAATATAAACTACAGAAAGCAAAACTTGATGACATCTTCTTGGATAATGGGTCATAGTTAAAAATGGTTGTGGAGCATTGCTCAGTGTCTTCCCAAGGTATACAGTACTTACAATTGTGATGTTAAGTGGAACATAGGCAAGCTCTCAAAATACTGATACCTATGTTTTTATTTTAATGTGTATTAGGGGAAAATGTGGCTAGCACAGCAAACTCATAATGCCATTTATTATTTATTAGGGTGAGGCTGAAGTAAGGATTTAAGATTTTTAAAAAGTATATGGATTTAAAGAAAAAGTTAATAGTTTAGGCAGAATGCAGATACCGTAAAAGTCATCAGGATGGTACTAGAATATCTGAAGTTTGAAAATCAATGGCCACTTTGCCTTCTGTAGTTTGAGTATAATTTATTTGTCTTACTAGTTACAAGTCAATCATAGGAGCATTTTCATTCCTCTTTTCCTGATAAAAACTTTCAGTGGCTCACCACTTCCTGCCCAATAAAGTCAATCAAACTTATCCTGAAATCAGTACCTTCTTAGCATGAAATCTAGCCTTCCCCTTTCCCCCCATCTCAGGGTTTCCTAAAAAATGTTTTAAAATTACTAGATCCCTAAGATTTAATAGGTGCTCCAGAGAAAAGATAATCTAGTGGTCAAAAAAGGTTGGGAAAGTGCTGTATACTACTGTACCACTCTCTGGGACATTCCCACAGTGTTATATCATATTAAAAGGTTTGGGAAGACCTGAGATAAACCTGTCCATGTTTACTTATTAATTTGATCACAGAATCCTCCTTTTGTGGAACCAGTCTTTTGTGTTTACCAACTCATTTGATCACCTTTGTCAATAACTCTCCTTTGTGGAACTCCTTAGTGAACAAAGAATGCTTGATTTAGTTGAAACTGGAAATCAGCTTTTGAATTCCACCAAGAAGTCAGTACTAGCCATGATAATCTTTCAGGATATATATGACGCTACTAATTTAAAAGAAGTTATGGGTATAATGTTAAAATGTATATTTTTAAAAGTAACTGGAAATTATCATTTAACACCTTTATCTTTTGCTTAAAATTAAAAGGCAATGTATATAAAGATATGCAAGAATCACAGGAAGCCCACATATCCAACCATCTAGATGAAATTGTTGCTGCTGTCAGCATCCCTCCTAGAAAGAAGACCCCAAACAAGCTGCCTCAGACAGCGTTGTTCCAGCCTCCTCGGGAGAAACTCCACTTCAGTGAAGAGAGAGCAAAGTCCTACATCAACAGTCACGAAGTAAGGAGGCTTTTGTTTTCCATACCTCATTCTAGGACTTGAGCTGTGACATGTGATCAAGAGAAGTAGGATATTTTAGGTCACAGTCCTACTCTCAGGAGTTTTACACAATCGAGTATATGAGAGAGTGAGTACCTTTATTATAGCTTGAGCGAGTGTAGTATGTCAGGGCAGTAGAGACTGGTCAACAGCAGTTGGCAGAGTCAACAATAAATATTCGTTGAACTCCTACTATGTGCCAAGCCTGGGCACTGGGATACGACCCAAACAAAGCTCTCACAGAGCTTCATCTGCTCTGTGAATAAAGGGATATTTAGCTACCTGGTCAGCTCTAGGAGGTGAGCTTGCAGACGATTTTTAGTTTCCCTCTTTTTGCTTATCTGTATTTTGACAATGAGCATAAATTATTTTTGCAATAAGAAACATGTTACTACAGAAAAAAAAAGCCACAGTTCACCCTCTTTCAGCACCACAAGGTGAGCATGTGTCCCTCAGCTTCCTCATGCTTAGGTTACAAAAGTGACTCTTGTGGTCAACTGCCTGGCTGTGTATTTATGTCAAGGAGAATATTGTTTCAGGGTGAAAATATTCCCAGTGCATATGGGAATTGTGTGGTCATGTAGGCCCTTTGAGCTTTGGCATTGACTGGGTACATCCCTGGTCTTGTGGATCTTCTCCCAGCTCTGTCCTTGATCTTGCCTTTCTTCCCCTGCTTTGTCCCCTTCAGCTTTCTTTCATTAGCCATTTTACCTCCCACCTCTCATGCTGTTCTAGCTGTCTTTCGCTACATCACACCCCAAAGCTTAGTGGCTTAAAGCAAAAACAACCATTCATTTTGTTCATGAGCCTGCAGTTTGTGCAGAGCTCCATGGGATGTAGTCAGCTTTGCCTTATGCAGCAATAGGTGGGCTGAACAAGCATGGAGAATCTACTGCCAGGATGGTCGCTCAGACTCTCAGTGCCTTTCTATGTGGGCTCTCCGTAGGACCGCTTAGGCCTCCTTACAGCGTGGTGGTTGGCTTCTGTATTTGTTTTTGTTTTTGTTTTTTTTTTTTTTGAGACAGAGTCTCACTTTGTTGCCCAGGCTGGAATGAGTGCCATGGCGTCAGCCTAGCTCACAGCAACCTCAAACTCCTGGGCTCAAGCAATCCTGCTGCCTCAGCCTCCCAAGTAGCTGGGACTACAGGCATGCGCCACCATGCCCGGCTAATTTTTTCTATATGTATCAGTTGGCCAATTAATTTCTTTCTATTTATAGTAGACACGGGGTCTCACTCTTGCTCAGGCTGGTTTTGAACTCCTGACCTTGAGTAATCCACCCGCCTCGGCCTCCCAGAGTGCTAGGATTACAGGCGTGAGCCACCGTGCTCGGCCTTCTGTATTTGTTTGTAGGGCTCACACAACAAAATGCCACAGAGTTGGTATTAAACGACAGAGTTCATTTTCTAACAGTTCTGGAGACGGGAAGTCCAAGATCAAGGTGTCAGCAGGGCTTGATTTCATTCTAAAGCCCCTCTCCTTAGTTTGCAGGCGGCTGCCCTCTCGCTTTGTCCTCATATGTCCTCCATGTGTGCACACGTCCCTGGTGTCTCCTCCTCTTTTATGTAAGGTTACCAGTCATTTTGGACTAAGATCCACCCTGAGGGCCTCATTCTTAGTAAATCATCTCTTTAAAGACCTTATCTCCAAAAACAGTTACATTCTAAGGTACTGGGAGTTGGGACTTCAACATATGCATTGGGGGTGGGGGACAATGCTGCCTATAACAGATTTCAAGAATGAGTGCCCAAAAGAGACAGAATGTGGAAGCCACCAGTTCCTTAAGACTTGGACCTGAAAACTAGCACTGAAATATTTTCTCTATATTCTATTGGCCAAACAGGCATAAAAACCCAGATTCAAAGGGAAGGAAACAGAGACCCCCATCTCTGGATGGAAGGAGTGTCAAAGAATTTTGGAGCTGTGTTTTAAAACTACCAGCTTTGTTTCGAGCATACTGCTGCTCCGAGATGACCTGGAGCTGGGACTCCACAGTGCCCTATTCTCTTTGTCCTAGCCCTCAATGAAAATGTGCTTCTCACTGCTCGAATAAAGTCTGTTTGTCAGTCTCGCTGATCTCATTTGCTAGGCTGATATCATAGGCTGCTAAGGAAAGTTTTGAATCGAGAGCTGAAGTGTATTATTTGAAAACCACTACCACTTGCTCACTTGTTGTGCCTGCGTATATAGTAGCTGTTCATTGATAGGCAGCTGGAAAACTTAGAGAACGATTAGATGTCCGCTCTGCTTTTTCTATTCTTTCATTATCCCATTACATTTTTCACCTTTAAATGTACTATACATTGTACTTACTTCTTATGCTTATTGTCTGTTTCATCCTACCAGATGAACATTCTACTACTCAAATCTTTGTCTCTTTTGTTCTGTGGTATATTCTAAGTGCTTAGAACCATGTTTGGCACAGAGTAGGCACACGATATTTATTGAACAGATAAAAATACAAGTTGATTTTGTGCTTTATCACTCTTAAACTTTAAGTTTTCTAACTGGCAAGCCCATTTTCTCTTCCTAACAGTATAAACAGGCTATCCAGGAGCTTGTGCGTTGTGTAGCACTGACAAGAATTTGCTATGGTGACACGCATTGGAAACTAGCAGAGGCACATGTTAATCTGGCTCAAGGCTACCTCCAGCTGAAAGGTGAGCTCATCTCAGACTGGGGGGATCAGCTTGTTGGTTTCTGCTGTTCTCCCCAAATTTGATATACACTTAACTACAAGGATCAGGTTTTTGGATATTCTCCTTTCCAAATATTGAGAAGCCATTTCCCTTTAGTCAGTAATAAGGTATATAAAACGTATATATTCAAAGGCAGAAAAAGGAAGAAATATTGTAACTCTTCTGGTTTTGTTTTATATAATCTTAAAAGTAGAGTTCTTAGGAGAAAATTAATCTTTTTGGTCAGAAGGCATCGTAGAAAGAACCCAAGGCATGGAGTAGGGGCCCAGAATGGATCCATTTACACTTTTATTGGTTACTTACAGTCTCTTGATGGTAAGTAACCAAAGAAATAAAATAAAATAAAGGACTAACCCAAACTAGCATAAACAAAAATTTATTGGCTCATACAGCTTAAAAATTCGAGGGTAGAATTTGCTTTAGACTTAGCCATATCCAGATGTTCAAACAATGGGACTGAGTTTCAGCTTCTCTCTTTTCCCACTGCTTGGCTCTGTTTTTCTTGGTATTGGCTCCATTCTTGGTCAGGATTTGCCCACATGGCAGCAGCAAGGCTTCCAGCAGCTTTAGGCTTCCCTTGTAAGTACCCCAGAAGAAAAAAAGAATATCCTTCCCCAGGATTTTGAGGAGTTCTAATTAGACGAACTTGGGTTGTATACCAAAGGCAGGCAATAGTCTGGCTAGTCCTGCCTTTTGACTCCATTGGATCCTGGGAGATAAACTGGCCTTGGCCAAGTCACATGGACTGGATATGCAGAAACCAAGCATCCTAAAGGGCAAACAGAAGAAGGGGAAACAGGTACAGGGAAGGCAAAGACAACAGATACCTGGGATATGATGCCTTCTACTTGCTGACTGTGTAACCTAGGACACGGTGTGCAAGAGCACATCTCTGCACTCAGCTTCTTCAGCTGAAAAGTGATGATAATGATAATGGTGATGCCAACTTCCCAGGGTTGATGCATTGAATAGAGAAACTGATAGAAATGGAAACACCACAAGGCAAAACATAGATAGAATTGCCACCCAATAAATTTGGCCAAACCCGGTTGCAGACTGGTCCTACCTATTAGATCAAAGACTGTCAGAATCAGAGGGGACCTTGGAGATCATCTGATTTAAACCCTGTCCCCACCCCATATTTGGACTGAGAGGAAACAATGAGTCTAAATTAAAACAGCTTGCCCCAGATCACACTGTTAATAAGTAGCTGATCTGAGAATCAGACCTAGAATTTTGAATGCCAGTTCCAGTGTCTTGCCATCTGTGGTTTCAAATGATGCTTTTCTTCCACAGCCTGCTGCCTCTCTGTGCAACAGTCCGTATTTCTCAACTTAAAGTAAAAGCTGGGCCAGGTGCAGTGGCTCACACCTGCAATCCCAGCACTTTGGGAGGCCAAGGTGGGAGGATCACTTGAGGTCAGGAGTTTGAGACCAACCTGGGCAACATAGCAAGGCCCTGTCTCTACAAATAAACAAATAAATAAAATCAGCCAGGTATGGTGCACCTGCCTGTAGTCTCAGCTACTTGGGAGACTGAGGCAGGAGCATTGCTTGAGCCCCAGAGGTGGAGGTTACAGTGAGCTATGATAGTGCCACTGCCCCCAAGCATGGGCAACAGAATGAGACCCTGTCTTGAAAGAAAGAAAGGGAGAAGGTGGGGGGGAGAGGGAGAGAGGAAAGAGAAAAGGAAGGAAGGAAGGGAAAGAGGGAAGAAAGAAGGAAGGAAGGGCAATCTCTATTGTTTATTAAGGTTTCCTTGGACGCAAGGCATTGTGCTATTTTCCATACATAACCTCATTCAGTCTTCGCCACTATCCCTTGAGATTGAGGTAAAAGGGCATTAGTATTATTCCTGTTTACAGCTGAGGAAGCTGAGGCCAATGTTTCCTAGTAAGTAGTGGAGCAGGGAGTCCATTCTGGGTAGTCTGACTTCAGAGCCATGATGTTCTTTTTTTCTTTTTTGAGATAGGGTCTCACTCTGTCACCCAGGTGAGAATGCAGTAGCATCATCATAGCTCACTGCAACCTCAAACTCCTGGGCTCAAGTGATCCTCCTGCCTCAGCCTCCCAAGTAGCTGGGACTACAGGTGCACACCACCACACTGGCTAATTTTTTTCTATTTTAGTAGATACAGGGTTTTGCTCTTGCTCAGGCTGGTCTGGAACTTCTGACCTCAAGCAATCCTCCCATCTTGGCCTCCCAGAGTCCTAGGATTTCAGGCATGAGTCATCACACCTGTCCCCAATGATGTTCTTGAACCTCAACCTACGCTGCCTCCAGAAGACTGAGTTCAAGTTCCTTAGTAGAATGGATCACAGCCGAAAATTCATTCCACCATGCCTTTTGTAATATCACAAGCACAATTGGCAGTAGAATACGTTTCTGGCAGGTTGGTTAAGTATGTGCTTTTAAAAAAATAATAAGACAACATTCTGTAAGAGTTCTCACATGAAAAGCATACCCTTTATTTTCTCCATTAGAAAATATATTCTTCTTGTTTTATAGACATAGGAACAGAATTAACTTCTTATTTTGACAGATTTTTTTAGAGATTTGAGATACAAATCTGGCAAGAACAGAGGACTGGCGGCGTATGGATGTGAGTGGAGAGGGTTGTTGGTGTGGGGGAGGAGGATAGGCATGTAGGGAGGTGCAAAGCCCTGAAACCTGGGTGGCGATCCCAGTGCCACCCTCCCAAAGATTAGCAAGTCCATAGAGGAACAAACACTGGAACACACTGGGGAATTCATTTTTGGCAATAATTTTTTTCCTCCATTTTGTTTCCTATTAGTCTATTGCAAAATGGGAATAAGAAGTTGTTGCATATTAGTATATCACCTCGTGGGAATTGTGTTTGTAAGGTTTTCTTTTTTAGAGATTCTCATATTTGTATTATGTTAAAATAACTCCCTGACATTATGATTATAGGTAGGTGAGCGGAAGATTCAGAATTTTTAGTATTTCGTTAAGATTGTTGTCACCAAGCCAGGATTAAAATTTATGAATATCTTGTTTCCTGCCCAGAATGCTATAGTCCTTGTATTCCATTTTTGTTTTGTTTTGTTTTTTTGTTTTTTTGAGACAGAGTCTCACTTTGTTGCCCAGGCTAGAGTGAGTGCCGTGGCGTCAGCCTAGCTCACAGCAACCTCCAACTCCTGGGCTCAAGCGATCCTACTGCCTCAGCCTCCCGAGTAGCTGGGACTACAGGCATGTGCCACCATGCCTGGCTAATTTTTTCTATATATTTTTAGTTGGCCAATTAATTTCTTTCTATTTATAGTAGAGACGGGGTCTCGCTCTTGCTCAGGCTGGTTTCGAACTTCTGACCTCGAGCAATCCGCGTGCCTGGGCCTCCCAGAGTGCTAGGATTATAGGCGTGAGCCACCGCGCCCGGCCTATTCCATTTGTTTTTTATAATTATTTGTAACATGTTTTATTTCTGATACTGGGTGAGGTGTCAAAGCTGTTCAATTGCAGCTCATTCTACTTATTTTATTTCTATAAAGACCATTTTGGGGAAAATTTATCTTGGATATTCAATATAAAACACTTCTTTGGTTGTTATAGTTATGACACTGTTTTGTGCTGGCCAGATATGTCTCCATGTGCCACTTGGCAAAATATGAAGGAGACCTCATTAGATTCCCCGCTGTATTCCTGTCCAGTTGACATTAAGGAAAAACTGAGACCTCTTTTTCTTTGTCTGCAGGACTGTCACTGCAAGCAAAACAACATATAGAAAAAGCCAAAGAAATCCTCACCACCTCCATTGTGCCTCCGTATAATGACAACACGGATGTTTTCAAGTTTTCCATTGAGCTTTTCCATACCATGGGGAGGGTCTTCCTCTCCTTCCAAAAGTATCCTTTTGCCTCTGATCTTTACAAATATATATACTTCTCATAGAATATTTCATTCTCAAGGCCAAATAAGAAGCGGATAGATGACCCAGGAAGGGCAATAAGGAAGTACAGGAGATGAGGAAGTGTAGGACCTGGGGTCCTGGAACCTAGAACCAAGTGGAAAGTGGAAAGTTTCCTGAACACAGTTCAGATTCAAGGAAGCTTCAGAAAATTTGGCAAAAGCAGAGAGACTTTCAAAGGAGCTGCTACAATGTGGAAGAATTATAAATGAAGAATGGATAGAAATTGAAGCGCGGATCAAACAGTCATTTGCACAGTAAGTTTCAAGTTTAGGACTTTGTATGCATAATGGCTGGAGGTTCTTTGCCAGTAGAATCTGTCTTCAGATGCGAGGAGTTTCTTCATGGGGCTGTGTCCACACCTCTGCCATTGTCTAGAAGTAAAAGAACACAATCATATCAAAGCAGCCCCAACATCCGTCAGTGACACTTTCAATGTGCAGTGCCATCATAGCCACCCTAGGCCCCGGAGTTCTGATCTTGATTCTCTTGACTTTCTTCATGCCTGCTCTCCCTCCTCATCCCCTGCCCATTTGGCCTTCCCTTCCTCCCACCCTTCCTTCCTCCCCTCTACTGTACCAGTCTAAAATGCTTCAGTAGATTGATTTTTATGATTAGGGCCTCAAAGGAGAAAGATCTTAAGCATATCTGAATCCATGATAAATGAGAGGATCACTCTTTGCCCCTCACCCCACTCCACACTCACCAAATAAACTCCGCTGGAAGAGATATAAAGAGAAGATGGTGGGTCTTGGGTAGTTAGTACATTTATTCCTCCCCAAAGGGCAACCCTAAGCTAATTCCTCAGAATATTGGGATGACAGAGGATGCCTAAACTCTTTGGAAAGATAGATTTGTAGGGAGAAGATGGTGGAGGAAGGTCTACTCTGGAGGAGACAGAGAATCCCAGTTGCTCTATGGCTACCCTTAGCCAAAGCCTGAAGAATTCAGTTTACCTTCATAGCCAGACTGTGTGCAAAGGCTGATTCCCAAGAGAACCAACAGAATCATTTTAAGAAAGGTATTAGGAAAGGGCCCTGGGAGAACACACCCAATGCTTCCATGTGAATGGAAACTGGGAAGGACCAACTTTGACTCATGCTTTTCAAGATATTTCTTTTGCGATCATAGTTCCCCGCTGTTAATTTATTTTATTTGGGTGTTTCTTGGACTGCAAGTGCGGAGCTCATATGTCATGCAAGCCCTTTGATATTCTTTTTTAAATTAATTTTTTTTCCTTCATCTCTGATCTCCACTCTCATGCTCCCCCACAACACCCCATTGATAATCTATTTTAATGATGGTTTATGTCTTTGAATACGTATCTCTGAATGATAAATACTGTTTTTTAAAAACATAACTGTAGTTATGTTTTTTAAGTTTGTTTAAATTAGCACTGTATATCTCATTCTGTTTCTTACTTTTTAACCATCCAACACTTCTGAATTGTTGCCTGTACTTTAGTTCATTGCTTCTGACGCCTACATAGTGCCCCATAGGATGAATGGGCCACGTTTTGCTTATCCATCCTCCTGGCATATTCAGCTTGTCCCCAGCTCTCTGCTCCCACAGCAGTACTGCCAGGACCATCCGTACGCAGCTTCACTTATGTAGCTAAGCAAGACCTTTTCTGAGGTTTACCCCCCCAGGGTGGTATTGCTTGCTCACAGGGTACAAACATACTTCAGGTTCAGTGAGCACTGGCCAATTGCTGTACCTATCTGCCTTCCCACTTGCAGGGCAGGCAGGTTCCTATTTTCTCACACCCCCAACAACATTTGGCACTGTGTGTCTAACTGTTGCCAACTTGATGCATGTAATGTGCTATCTAATTATTGAAATTGTATTTACATTTCTCCTATTAGTGAGCTTGAATACTTTTCATGTACTTCTCATACATTTGGGATTTCCCTTCTTTTTTTTTTTTTTTTTTTAAAACAGAGTCTCACTTTGTTGCCCAGGCTAGAGTGAGTGCCGTGGCGTCAGCCTAGCTCACAGCAACCTCAAACTCCTGGGCTCAAGCGATCCTCCTGCCTCAGCCTCCCGAGTAGCTGGGACTACAGGCATGTGCCACCATGCCCGGCTAATTTTATATATATATATATTAGTTGGCCAATTAACTTCTTTTCTATTTATAGTAGAGATGGGGTCTCGCTCTTGCTCAGGCTGGTTTCGAACTCCTGACCTCAAATGATTCTCTTGCCTCAGCCCCCCACAGTGCTAGGATTATAGGAGTGAGCCACCGTGCCTGGACCAGGATTCCCCTTCTATGAATAGTCTGTTAGTATTCTTTCTTGTTTTTTTTCTTGGAGTTCTCTGTACCTTTCCTGTTGATGATTAAGATTTTCTTATATAAGTATTAATGATATTATAAATATTTTCTTACATCTAGTACCCATTTATTAATTTTTTCTATGGTGTTCTTCATAGCATAGAAATTCTTAACTTTGCTAGAGTCAAATCCATTAATTTTTACCTTATAAATTATATTTTGGAAGTTTGTTTAGAAAGTTTTCCCCACCCAAATGTCAAAAATACTCTCCAAAATTTCCCTCTAAGACTTGCTTTGAGTCTACCCCATATGTTTTAACATGTAGCAATATTACTGTTAGTAAGTTCTTAGTATTTCATAGCTTACTCTTTAGTCCAAAGATTATCTAAGTGATGTGAGTTTTAGTTTACAGATATAAGATATTTTTCAAGTTATCGTCATATAACTGCATTCTAATTTCATTGCATTATGGACAGAAATATATTTTCATGGAATAAAGTCTTTAAATTTATTGATGCTTTCTTTGTGACCTAGTCCATGGGCAATTTTTGTGAATGTTTCAGATATGCTACAAAAGAAATTTATTCTTTATTTGTTGTGTGTAATGTTCATAAGTCTATATTAGACCAACCTTGTTAATTCTATTATTTGAATTTATATCTTTGTTTATTTTTTGCCAATTTGATATGTTATTTTTAAAGATAAAGATGTTTATATCTCCAGCCACAATTATTAATCTATCTGTAGCTCCTTGTGGTTCTGCCAGTCATTGTTATTTATATTCTGAGGCTATTTTGGGGGGGTGGGAAAGTTTAACAGCAGCTCATCTTCTTAATCTATTATTTCATTGATCAGTATATCTTATCCTTTTTTGTCCCCCTATATTAATATCTATTTTGTCTGATAATATACCCTAACTCTCTTTTGGTACAAATTTTCCTATAATATCTTTTTCCATCGTTTTGAAAGTCTTTATTTGGGTTTAAATATCCTTTTGTCCTACCCATTATATGTTCCTTTTTTAATCCTTACTTGCTTTCTTTTAGATTAATCAAATATTTTTTTATTCCATTTTTCTTCCCATAAACTCGTAAGTTAAGCATTTGTTTTCTTTTTCTTCTAGTAGTTACTATACAGTTTGTCTCTTATATCCCTGACTTATTAGAATCTAATTGTAAATCAGTCATTCAACTACTTCCTGAACCATGCAAGGACCTTTGAGCATGCTAATGCTCCTTATCCCCTCTGTTTGGTGATATGTTGTTCTACATTTAAATCACTGTGGATTTTATACCACAGACAAGCACAGAGAGAAAGAAAATATTTGTAATACATGTAACTGACAAAGGGCTTGTGTCTAGAATCTATAAAGAACCTCCATATGTCAATAAAACAAACAACTGAGTAGAAAAATGGGCAAGAAACTTTTCAAAAAAAAAGGGCACACACATAGCTAATAAATATATTGAAAGGTATTCCAGCTCATCAGTCATCAGGGAAATGAAAACTAAAATTATAAGATACCACTACATCTCCACTAGAATGGCTAAAATTTTTAAATAGACATAATATCAAGCGTTGGCAAAGATGTGATACTCCGATATGCTCTCTCATATGCTGCTGTTTGAAATATATTTGCTATAACTACTTTAGAAAACTGTTCAGTATTATCTACTAAATTTTAACATTTGTATACCCTTTGCCCCAGCAGTATCACTGCTAAATATTCATCCAACAGAAATGCATGCATATGTTCACCAAAAGACACAGCCAAAATGTTCAAAGCTACATAATTTGTAATAGCCAAGAGTTGGAAACAGCTCAAATGTTCATCAAAAATAAAATAGAAAATAAATGTGATTTGTTCCTAGAAAGAAAATGATCAAACTATTGCTTTGCTTAACACCTTGCATGATTCTCACAAACATGTTTAGTGAAAAAAAACAGGCCCCAAAGAATCATACTATACAATTCCATTTATATAATGGGAGGAGGAAGAGGGCTATTAGTGACTGGGAATGCGTTATCAATCCAGAATCTCTTTCATGCCCAGAAATACATATTATATCTTGTAAGACAGGAAATATACAAATCAGAGGTCCAAGATATTATATTTGTGGCATCTGTTGAGACTTGTTAGTATTTAATGTTGCTCAGTGTAACCACAAAACAGAGTAAATTAATCTCTGCCAGAATTTGGCACTTCCTCTAGGAGTGTTTTCCAAATTAGCAGTACCAAGCCTTGCCAGCAGATGGCGGGCCTTGTACGCATCTGTGCTGAATACCCAATAAGAATTTAATATCCCAGAATGTCTGCAAAGTTACTTTTGTGTTTAGCCAAGTTGTTTCAAACTTTGCTATTTCTTTTCATACTAATTCTTCACCTCCAGCATATTCACCACACCATTCATGTTCAAATTACATCATTTTCATACAATTACTTTTCTTTACTTCTTCGTGAAAATGTGAATATTTTGTCCCAATTGATCTGCTTTAGAAATGAAAAAGGCTTTGGTTTTGTACATTTCTGTAGTTACACTTGAACCATGAGGGCCTTTTCTTTTGCCAGGTCTTGGAGGTGGAAGCCAGGATAATTTCTCAGGCAGCTCTCATAGGATTTACGTGCCTCTTAAAAGGATGTCTTTTAGTGTATCCTTCTCCTCCTTCTGCTTCTCCTTTTATGGTGCCCATCATGCCAGCCCTGAGCCTTTCTCCTCCTCGGGCTGACAGATAGTGCTGAAGGGTGACTCATGCTCTGTGCCTTCCCTCCCTGCCTATGGCCTGCAGCTTTTCCCCTTCTACCTCTTCTCCTCTGTTCCAGCACTACTTCATTCAGTATTGATATCTTAACTATGGACAATGAATCCAAACCATGTGTTCCTATGTACACACGTATATTTCTTTAAATCTGGTAAAGAAAGTCGCTAGTGCAAACAGCCAAACTTTTCCCCAGTGTTAAGAATTATTTTCTTTATTTGTTTTTAT